AATAAACCAGATTTTTACCAACAAATTTAAAAAATATTGTTATAACTACATAGACAACCCTACAAACCTGTACCTATTTATACTTAGGTCGTTTCCATTTCACGTATTCTCATCCCAATTGACCCCTTTTTCGTTGTTATTTGTACCTAAGACGTCCCCAATATCCCCAAAAACAACAGATTTTTACATGTATTTTTATTTAATCAAATACATTAAAACCAATAACAACTGAGACTTACCTTTAATATATATGCTGGTTCAAACACTAAATAACGTTTATAAATCATAGTCGTCTTCTATTATTATCAAATAAATAAAAAAGAGCAAAGTTTCTAGCACTAAAATAATGACCACCACAGGAAGTTAATTTGAAACGTGATTTTTTATAAGTTAGCAGCTATTATCATGCATATTCAGAGTTGTTTTGTGAACTTTCAACATTCTACTATTAAACTACAAAAAATAGAAGGGTTTTGCAACGAATATAAAACTTATATTGAGCGTCGAAAGATTTTCCCGGTTTTTTCCCGATTCGCCTGTCAATCCCTAATCGCCCCATTTTACCGGTACTCCATGTAAGGAAGCTAATTAGATGTTAAATACATATATACCGGCCATATTGTTTGCATTATAACTAAGATATGAAAGATATTAAACATAAATATTAAACTTTTAAAATAATGTTTCGTCATAAACTGTAATGTTAGCGTACTATGATGATTATCATTATTTTACAAAAAAAAAAAACTAAAAATTAACAACAGCTTCCAAAATACTTAATGATACCGTATACATGAAATAATACCGAATATTTCTCCAAAACAGCTTTGTCCACTACACACCACAACGAACAAAAAAATTTACACAAAATCACTATACAATAAAACTTAAAAGTTCATGAAAAAAAAAACAATTTATTAAAATACTATCACAATATTATTATTTTAAATTTAATAGTTCGCGTCCACATGTATATTGAGAAAACCCAAGGTGTACATAAATAGTACTTTAAATTACCTTTTTTTTGAAAATTAAAATGCTGACGCATCCGCAGTGGCGTTCTATACTCTATTACAATTACGAAGTGTCTATTTTGACAGGACTTTTTGGCGGGAACGCGAGGAGTGAAGTTGTGCGATTTGTTTTATTTTGTCTATTTAGTGTTTCTTCGGGTTTAAATGTGTAATAATGGTGGCTTATTAACTGTTTAATATCTGTGAAAGTGCACAAATGTGGGAAAATGAAACAGAGCCGCTGGACGTAACTTCTCAGGATCCTCCAAAAAGTCCACTGAAAAAATCTTAGTAAATGACCACCATTTTACTGAGATTATATTTCATCCCATTTCATTTCATTTCATTTCATCCCAGTTGATTAATGTCTCAAATTAATCATCTTCATTTAATTTCACTCCTTAATATCATTTTTCATAAAATATGAATATAAATTAAAATAAGACATGACTTAAAGGTCTCAGTTACCAGGTCATAAAATCCCTCATCTATTTTGACACTTCTTAGAACCTAACTCTTTACGTTTCGCATATTCTATATATTTTAAATAAAAATATTTTTTTGGTCATGGTCGTAAATATCATTTAAAAAAGACACGATCAATCTACATCATTATACAATTAATTCACACACACACAATAACATAATAATAACATATGTCTCATGGGACTTCGTAATTGGAATAGAGTATAATTGTCATCAACTGCTAGATATTTAGTCCCAAATACGAAATATTGTAACAACGCGTTCTGTTAGTTTTTTCAACTCAATGAAATTTTAATTGTGCCGATTATTAATCTGATCTAAATATACCCTTAACCGCCTCTGCATTTGCGCTGTCTGCTGTCAAATACTCCAATAACAATTAGTCAAGTTTAAGGGTGCCTGTCCACTGGAGCGGAGCGAAACAGCGGAGCGAAGATATGGAGAAATATTAACCAACTAAATCAAAATCATAAGATGGCAAAATGATTTTGTGCAATTTTATTGGTTAATATTTCCCAGTTTCTTCGCTCCGCTCCAGTGGATAGGCACCCTAAATGTTAAATTTTGCGCTAAATTTAGTCTTCATAACAATTAGTCGAATAAAAATTAAACACTAAAAACGCTATACATTTCGTTGTTCAATTGTTTATCGAATATAGCAGCCTAATGCTATTGGGCCTATTGTTTTAGTCTTTCTTCATTTTACTTCTAATAGTCAATCTGGGTTTGTTTACGACTCACTGAATCCGGAGTAAATTTAGTCTTTATTGAATTAGATTTGTATGTGATTATAGTTTTTATTCTAGAATCAGTTAAAATCGTGAACACAAACGGAAAAGAGAAACTAATTTTGAAAAAGGTTTGTATTAGTGGAGGTGAATCTCAGTAAATAATCAGCATTTTACTGAGATTATATTTTATCCCATATTATCTGATCTCATTTCATTTCATTCCATGCCAATTGATTAATGTTTCAAATTAATCAAATCCATTTCACTCCATATTATCATTTTTATTAAAAAAAAATTAGGCTCTATGGCATGATACTTTTGCCTCTCTAGTTTGAAAAATAGAACTACTAAAGAAATACTCGATCGAAACGTTAAAATCCACTAATTTGCAACACGCACTCGCACAAATGTCATTCGTGGTACTCATTTCGGTAAAATTACTCGGTTACGAGATCACAACGTTAATAATGAACTCGCACTCACAAAATAACACCGGGTACGTTTGCCGCTAGGGGCGCTGTTCCAATTGCATACAAATTTGAGCAAACTGGCTCGCTATCGAGAACGTTACAAAACTCGCACTAAGCACACAGATTGTTGCAGAACTTAAAACTACATAGATATCAATTGCATGTTGAGAAAAATAATTAAAACAAATATTATGACAATTCTTTATGAAATTTACCTTCTATTAAAGTGTAATTCCATCAGAATATACCGTCGATAATGATCGTAATGCTATCTTAACTTATGTATTGTACATTATAAGTACATTGACTAGTATACGTAAAGATTTCTTATAGTTACTTACGTTACATTTTATGTGGACGTTTTCGAGTCCCGGTCAAGTTAGTACAAAGAACAGTTTTATGTGCCAACAAATTGAAAGTGTATTTAGTGCACTAGATGGCTGAAGTAACTCACTGTATACCTCCTTGTAATTATTACCAAAAACCACATCACGATGTGAATTATGTCATCCATGTAAACACACAGAATTGTATGTAAGTCTGTAAGTCTGTGCTCTGATCAAACTAAAATAGAAACATTTTTAATATCGGAACATTAGCGGGACATTAGTTTTCTAGGTCATTTAGAAACACTTTAGATCCGTCAATGTTTAAATACCTTTAAAAATATATATCTTTTAAACTTATCGAATCTCTGTTCCATTAGTCTTTTTTAGAATTGGATAAATAAAATCATTCTTATTTAATGCCCACATAAAACACGTTACAATCATACATAGATTAAAACGTCTATACCTATATCTGGATACAATGTTTAACTATTTACAATTAACTATCTGGCGTAACGCACCCCTGTTTCCATTTTATTCGTTTCCTTAGACTAAACTAAGCCTCAGATGGACACTAAGTCGGAGCCTCTTCTATTTGGTCGAGAGCGGCTTTGCTCTCTTGATTCCTATTCAATAGAAAATCCAGATCGCTCGAGATTTTGTTGAGCATTTTATCAGTTTCCGGGGAATCGTAGGCTTTCTTCCATTCTCTGTTGATCTGGTCGATATCGGATTTGCTGGCCTCGATGGATGGCAGGGAGGAGCTCGAAGATAGATTCTTGTTTTTTTTGAGGCAGCTTTTGATTGGAGGCGAGGGAATTTTAGAGACGTCCGGATTGGAGTGGACGCAAATGGTGCACGTGTCGGTGGGGTGGACGACTCGCTTGTTGGGTTCGATGTCCAGGGAGCAGGTGAGGAGGGTGGGGGGCGGTGGGGGACGCATCACGCCGAGCTCTAGACAAACACGCGCGTCGTACTCGCCGCGAGGGATGAGGTCGCAGACAGCTTGTCCGCCCGACGGGCCTCTCACTGGACACTTGTATTCTACACAACGGACAATGTCGGCACGACTGTCTGGAGTCGATTGACGCCTACAACAAATGAAATAAATCGTCTTTTCGCATTAAAAGTGTACAATTTCCAAAAATATTCCAAATTGAGTTAATATACGGAATCTTTTAGTATCACCAGTATTTTTTTTATAAATACTGTCAAAACACCGTAGCTTAGTTTTAGTTTACCTATATTTTGACTACTACTAACAAAATTAATACATAATTTTATCTTACTTTAAAATACATGTAACTGGTAAAAGATAAAAAATAAATGTTGCAAAGATGATTAATATTAAAAATATAACATGTTAAACCTTTAAAACACTCTCCTGTAAAATTAGTAAGTTTTGAGATTATACAGTTTTAATGCGAGAAGACGAAATGTTGTCCTTGATTCTACTTTTAACAATATGTAATGGTTAGATAAACAATTTTGCCATGTGATGTGTGATGGTTACCTGTGTAATCTAGTAGGGCTTTCAAGTCCAGGAGCTCGCCAGTACGAGGAAATTGGTGAAACCGGTGACGATGTGCTTTCAAATATGCCAACGCCGCCGCGACTCTCAACTTCACCTCCTTGTTTTATGTATACTGGAATGGTCAGATTAAAATATATCAAATCATTGAAACATTAAAAATAACTTATTGTCTGATCTAGTTTGTTTGAGCCTTACGGACATCGATAATTAAAGTAAATTTTAATATACATATACCAAACTAAATTAGTCTATTTTAGGCATTTGGTAGGCAGCGGCTTGGCTCTGCCCCAGGCATTGCTAACGTCCATGAGCGACGGTGACCACTTACCATCATGTGGGCCGTATGCTCGTCTGTCTACAAAGGCAATAAAAAAAGGCATATGGCTTATAATCAGGTTCCAGTGTGCTTAGTGCGAGTTTTTTAACGTTCTCGATAACGTAAAAGTTAATTCAAGTTTGTATGGAGTTGGAACAACGACCCTAGCAGTAAATGTAGGCAAACATTCCAAACCCCATACAAATTTGAGTTAACTTTTACGTGATCGAGAAGTTAAAAAACTCACACTAAAAGTACTGTTAATCCAAATTTATCAATGTTTAAAATAAAATATTATATCTAACCGATTGCTTAGTTTTAGTAAAAAAATATTTAATAAACAAATAAATAGATAGCTACAACACTTACAACTCAGCGAGGTATCTCCGGTGGGTTCATCTCTCCAGTCTCGAGCCGGAGTTAGTGTCAGGACTTTTCGGACTGAACGCAGACACTCTTCATCTCTTATTACATAGCAAGCCAGCATCGCTATACCCTGATAATATGAATAGAGAAATTTTCGCTTTTCAAAAATAAAAATGAATAGAATATTTAATTAACAATACCCTTAAAATTCAACGTTCGATGCTACTTATCAATTGTTTATATTACCTTCTAAATAATAATAACGTAATCTTAGTAAGTTAGTTTAATTAATCAATTTATACCAAATTTCTTTGTCTCGACCATATCGTACCATAATGATCTATTAGTTTTTTTTATTTACTGTGTTTAGTTACACAATAATGAAATGCCTTAACTTTAACGACATATAAGTTTAGGGGCATCCGCTACAAGATGTCGCTAGTTTCCATACAAAAAAATATTTGTCTTAAAGTATCGCAGTTTCAGGGCCCTGAGTCACGCAAGAAATGTGTCTCGATTCCACTTGCGCGATGACATCTCGACTCTGCCGAAGCACGCCATCCGAATTGAGCCGACGTTTGACGAGTAGTTGCGGCTCAAACCCACTAGATGGCGTGCTTTTGTTTCCTTTGTCCAGATGCGACATATAAATGAATTGTCTTCGTTGACCCGAGAGTCTTTTTTATGATTGAAGGATTACTGGTGGCCCGGAGGCCTTTTCAGTTTCACCAGGACAGGTGGGCGAGCAAAGGCTCAGCCAGGAGGGGTGCTAACAGCAGCCCGAGCGCCTCCGAAGGAGATCTAACAACTCACGAGCAACTTTTTCGCGAATGAATCTACTACCGGATCGGAATCGCGACCCGCTGAGAAGATCCGGCGAGAAACGCACCGGCCTGATGCATGGGTTAGGTTGCACGTCGACCTCTTTGTAGAGTTCGACGAGTACGGTTACCGGGGTCCCTAAGCCTGCTCCTATTGTTAGAGCTGAAGGCGTCTAATGTAAAGGTTATTGGATCTGATGGATCCGTCGTAGGGTGTACATACGTTGGCCAGGGCAGCGATGGATAGCGCGGCGACGTGCGCCACGGTACGTTCCCCGGGCTGTGCGTACGCCACACCCGCTGCTTGAGCCGCCGATGTTGACACCAGCAGTATTAATGTGTGCCGAACGACGCGCCCTCTGACAATTGTAACAGTTATATGAAAAGTAGTGATCAATGAAATAAAATGCGTTTATTTTAGGCAACGTAAGCCCATCAAATTTCACATACAATTACATGATATTTAAATCAAAATACAATAAAATTACAATTACAATTTATCAGAATGATTAAAAATAAAAATAAACAAAAATGAAATCAAATCAAATGAAACTGAATCAAAATTAAAATTGTCAACCACTAATATAAATAATGCGTTTTGGTTTGTAGGGTGGGGCAGCCGTTGTGCAATGCTCATTTCCAAGACTCACTGCACCACATAATATATCCACATTAAATTTGTACTAAGGATAGTTTTCAATAATCTAAATTTAATAATAGATCTTATTTACCTATTTACTATATAGTACATGTTTTTACTAAATTACAGAGAGTCGGCATGGCTTCGTCAATATATCATAGCAATAAAAAGAGGACTATACTACGACCTTAGAACTCATATCTCACGGTGGGTGGTGGCATTTACGTTGTAAATGGCTATGGACTCCGGTAACCACTTAACACCAGCTGGGCTGTGAGCTCGTCCACCCATATAAGCAATAAAAAAAAACTTAGCCTTCTTATGTAAATTCAAATGGAGAATTCAATTATAAGTTGATGATATGTATTGTCTTGGGTAGTATTTGCATGTACCCATTCTTCTTGGTAATTATTCACTTTGATTCTAACCTGTCATTGATATAGCTTCTCCTGTCAGCGGGGACCTTGTGTGAGATGGCTCGCAGTCTCGCAGCGGCGCACAGTGCTAGCGCCAAGCAGAGAGAGGCGAGTAGCGCGCATCCTGCCGCGCACACTGCGGCCGCACCCGCCCCCACTTGCAGGGGCGCGCCGCCCCATATCCGTGCCGTCAGCCACGACAATGTGCACACACCTTTAAATACAAACACCCAGTTTACCAAATAGCATATTTTCGTCTTGTGTCTTTTTTATTATTTTTTATAATCTGTTCGTTTGCTGTTCGCTGATCGTTTTTAAATTCGGGTAACTCACCGGCAAGTAGTCCGACAGACGGTGCCTTCTGAGCTCTACCAGCGAGCTCTGCCTGCAGCAGTAGTGGCTGCGCACACAGCGCCGCGCACCCCGCGCACCAGCACGCCGCGCACACCCATCCCAGAGTACCCGGACACGCTTCATCCTGGACACGGGATAATTGACAAGTCTTAGTTTTTTGTATACGCTACTTTTTGTATGCGTAAATAAAGAATTGAGATCACGACCCTCCTTTATATATATGAAGTCAAAGCATTTAAAATAACGTCCATATGGCCAACTAGAACATGTAATCGATTCAAATAAGTAAATAACTGGGAACAGATCACGCACGGTCATCTGATCCAAATTAGGATTCCCTGTGTTATGGGTACCAGAGACGTACATATCAGGTTTAAATGTGTTATAACGGTGGTTTATTAATCGTTTAATATTTGTGAAAGTGCACAAATGTGGGAAAATGAAACAAAGCCGCTGGACGTAACTTCTCGGGATTCTCCAAAAAGTCCACTGAAAAAAATCTCAGTAAATTACCACATTTTACGGGGATTATATTTCATCCCATATCATCACATCTCATTTCATTTAATTTCATCCCAGTTGATTAATGTCTCAAATTAATCATCTTCATTTCGTTTCACTCCATATTTTTCATAAAAATAAGAATTAACATTAAAATTAGACATGACCTAAACGTCATAGTTACCAGGTCATAAAATCTCTTAAAAAAAGCAAGCCCGAGAAGCAGAAGGAATTGAAAATTGAATTGAATTTGATTATATTTATGTTCGGCGATCAATCATCACACATATCCGGTTAGAAGTTACCTAACGTGAAATTATAAAACTAAGACTATCCGAGGAACGATATTTCATATTTGTGGTGTATGAATTTCGCTACAGACCTGTCTTGTGTCACACTCTAGCAGGGTCAGCATCGCAGCTGAGTGAGTCCCCGCAGTCGCAGCTTTCAGTAGTACAGGTAGCTTCGCCTTAGTCCCAGCAACTAGTGCCAGCAGTTGCAAAGCTGCTGCAGCTAAGCACATTGCTCCTCCCAGACTGACCGTTATCTTCACAATACCGCGTAGGTCCTTTTCTGCCTCGGTCTGTAAAATTAAGAATCTTCTTAACCTTCTTTTTCTTAGTCTTTTGTTTAGTCCATGAATTGTTCTAGACTTCATCTTGGGCGATTGTTAAATAAATTACAACATTAAAACATTTTTGTTTGACGGGTCCAATTTAGAATTTTACTGTCCCTACGGCCTATGTTGAAACTTAATATCCGAACAAAATGTGATGCTTACCAACGTAGACCTGGCTATCGTGAATAGTGCATATGTACCAAGCCCTCGACATTTGCAGGCCACGTGGGTTGCTTCAGGAACTTTCACTTCACAAGCTTTAGTGATCCAAGTTCTTGGGTCAGACGGAGTGCGAAGACCACAGGCGAGTTTTGATGCTGAGAATCAAGGATTAATGTTGAGTGGTTAAAAGAAGAAATTGCACCTTTTAGTGCAGAACTTAACAAGAGATCTCTACTCTTTCATAATTCACTGATAGCCCTTGCGGTCTTTTTAAATTGGCTCAAACACCCATTTGGAATACAGGTTGAAAAATCTCAAGCTTTCCTCTTATCGAAATTGACTCGAGACTTGCACAAGATGCACTTACAGATCTGCAAAATCTGATTCACAACACATGGAGTCAACGAGAATTGAGTTCACACATGTCATTCTTACAAAAATTCCCATTCGTACCGATTTTAGGTTCGGGGTTTAGGTTAAAGAAATGGAATAAATTGATTTAAAATTCATCTTCCTCACCAACAGCGCTATAGTTCTTGACATGAGTGAATAATAGGTTCACCGTATGCTGTAAGCTATTGTCGACTCCGGGACCAGTGGCGTACAATTGGATCTGTTGGGATGACACCAGATACTCCATTTCACGACCGCTCCTAGAAGACGACTGGCTAGAAATAACGTGATGAATGTCGTTGAAATAAAAATAAACAAAACAATGCACAACTTAAAAATAAACATGAATGCTAAAAGGTACAAGAAAAGAAAAGTAGAACAGAAATTGAAGAAAATATTCTAGAAATATTAGATGGAAAAGATGAACGATAAATGGTTGATTTTAGTGGTACTGAAGCATAGCAATAGATTTGTCTTTATCTTCTGTCGCTTTAATAGTTATTTGTTCTAATTCTAGGCCGGAGCACCTCTTTCTTTATCTATTGAATTTAAGAGTCATTTATAATTTTTGTTTTTTTTAGTTGACCCATTTGGATATCCAATAGAAGAAAAATCGGGAAAACACAGAAATTGAGAAACTCACTTATACTCTACAGATCGCCTTAAAGAAGGTAATCTTGTTCCCAAATTGTGATACAATACAGCAACAACGGTAGCGTTTCCCGTTCTAGCGAGTAATTCAGTGCCGGCTGACGTGAGCATCCACTCCTCAGATCCAATAGGACCTGATTGAAGATCAAAGTGCGCAGCACTGTCTTCTCTCGCTGGTTTCGTTTTGACTGTAAACTCGTGGAAATGTGTGTCGAGGTTGGTTCGCATTCCGGCTGTCTCTGCTATCGAGTTTTGAAGATCGTAGACTTTCTGAAAATTATTTTGATAGTTGTAATAATTTGCTGATTTATTAATTCGGTATACTTGTCGTATTTCAGAGGTAATGTGTAGTTAGTATGGTTTTTGTTTCTAACTAATATACATATAAAAGATATATTATTTCAATACATTATTCTTTTTAACGAAAATCGTGGGAAACACCAAATCCTGGCATTCTTAAAAAAAAATTGTGGCAAACCCAGGTCCTTGCAAGACCCTGCCTCCACGGTTCACTCAATGTCTTCTGGCACGATACTTAAATGTATCTACTCTACCATACAACTGTTGAAATGCTGCTACGAAGTTATGATTGACTTTCAGATAAGATGTTGCTGGTGGAACTGATTCAGTCAAACGTTTGGGCGGGGACCGAATCAAGTGACCATCCAGCCAACCGGGAGCCCCGAGAAGATAATGAGGTAAATTAAATGCGAGATTCAGGGTTGATCGCAATGGAGGAGTACTATTGAGGACTTTTACAACTTCTCGGAGCCACAGGAATCAATATGAACGTACCTCTTCATCCAAAAAGGCATCAGGATGCTTGAGCAAAGTGTCGTATATCTTGAGAAGATGCTCAGCACTTTGCATTCTGTCTGCCGGTCGTCCAGCGGAAGATAACAAATAGTGCAGCATTTCTTTTGTCTGGTGGAGGGGAAGCGTCCCTTCGCCTGGATGTGATGGTAGGGAGCGAAGGACCGCTCCATACTGACGGGCTACGTTCGATACGTTATTCCAGGAATACCCAAAGTAGATGTGAGTGAACTGAAATTTTAGGTGTTTTTTTAATTTTTTTATTGCTTTTGTAGGCAGACGAGCATACGGCCCGCCTGATGGTGAGTGGTTACCGTTGCCCATGGACTTCAGCAATTCCAGGGGTAGAGCCAAGTTGCTGCCTACCGCTGAATATCCAAAGTTAAGTGTTTGTGTATAATTTACAATCTAGAAGTTCTCGTCCCCCGGGAACGATGAACAAATATGGAGACTTATAACTCGAAACATTTTCATTAAAAATGTCTCTGTTGCTCAACACAGCTTTTTAATGTTAATTCGGAGTGACTGAAGCGGTGGTGCAGTAGAAAGCGCACCTGATCGTTGCGCCGAGGTCGTGGTTTCAATTTCCATGCACTTTGTCTGGGTGTAAATATATATATTGAAATATATATAAATATGTATATCAATCTCTGGTAGCCATAACATAGCGAATTCTAAATTGGGGCCGTGTGAGTGTGCTTGATTTGTTTCCAGTTATTATCTTTATATTATTTTTAAAATTCTTTTTTTATTTCATGGACGAGTGAATTAACCCACGGCCCACCTGTTAGTAAGTGGTTACCGGAGCTCGTAGACATGAATGACGTAAATGTCGCTACCGTATTGAGACATGAATTCAAAGCCTTAACCTTATGGTAAGCAACTGTTCGACTCTTCAAACTGCAGTGCATTACTGCTTGACGGCATAAATAGGCAGAGTGGTGGTACCTAACGGTGCGGGATTACAAAATTCTCAACCAACATCAAATTCCACCAGCAAAATAGAGCAAGAGGCTTAAATATCCAAAGCTTTCAATACTGAATACATAAATTGTAGACATTGTTGGAAAACGAGCGAAAAGCTACTAATACTATTGGTACTACGTTGGCGCTGTGACTCCGAAGTGGGTCTTGGCCTCCGACAGTAAATGCCGCCATTCATCTCAGCGCTGCGCATCATCTTGCCAGTTCGGCACTTGGAACTCGCGTAGATTCCCTTCGTCAGCGTCAGACCAGCGATACTTAGCCCTCTCTACAGGGCAGTGCCCCTTAGGTATCACCCGCGTCTGCTTCACACAATCCTGCTCTATCCACACTACACGCCCAAGCCACCGTAGGTGGTAGGCAGCGGCTTGGCTCTGACCCTGGCATTACTGAAGTCCATGGGCGACGGTAACCAGTAACCATCAGGTAGGCCCTGTGCTCGTCTCGACAAGGGCAATAAAAAAAAAACCTGAGTCTCCGTGCTTTCATTTCCCCCATAATATTTGGCCTAACAAAAAGCTTCCCCACATCTTTGTGATGACGTAAAAGCGAAAACCTCCTTTGGTTAAATTAACATATTCGTAAACTCCATAACTTATGAGTGTATTTAAAAAAAAAACACACAACACTAGATATATTTCAAATTCCACTATTAAATACAAAAGTTTCGCATAAGGAACTATACGATTTCATTTTAACAGTTCCATACGCAAACGAGTCAAGAATTCGTGAGTTACATTCAAAGGAGACGCGGACGAGGAACACGTACCTGCTCGTAAATGTCGTTTAATGAATCCGCGACGCATCCGGAGAAATCTGGTAGCTTCCATTTAACACCGTGCTGGGTCGTTTTCGGTTCGCAGAATCTGTAACATAGAACCATGTTTATTTATGCAGACTGCGCTGTATAATTTTGGAGAATATTCAGCAACATTTCTAGACTAAATTGTGTGATCATATTATACAATTATTCATTAAGCTGAATTACTTTTATTTTTAATTATTTTAGTGCTTAGATGCGTGGACGAGCTCACAGCCAGTGGTTACTGGAGCCAATAGACATCTACAACGTAAATGCCGCCGCACACCTTGAGATATAAGTTCTAAGGTCTCAGTATAGTTACAACGGCTGCCCCACCCTTCAAACCGAAACGCATTACTGCTTCACGGCAGAAACAGGCGGGGCGGTGGTACCTACCCGTGCGGACTCACAAGAGGTCCTACCACCAGTACGACATTGAAGCAATGAAGTTAAGAAAGAAAAGTACTTCAATGTAGTTACGCGACTTCTAGGTCTTAAACTAATTCTAATAATCCATATTTCACCACATAGATGTCTAATGCTGATCCTGAGGTGCTTGCACTTCCGAGATTCCTGCGACCTTCTTCAGGTCGTCGGTACATCTTATGGGAGACCTACCCACGCTAAGCGATTTATGAAGAAAAAAAAGATATGAGAATAAAGTGCCTTATTATAAAAATATTAATTTTAAGTTCTATTCGAGGTATAAAGAAATAAAACTGGAGGTTGCGCAACAACCCACGGTCATTCGGTAACGTGCGAACTTATTGTGGTACACTTTATTCACGTTTGTTTGCATAAGAGGTAGTGTATTGCGCAAACGAACGCTCTGAGATCGTGGTCAATAAATGATAAAAAAATATTATGTTATTTTTTGTACGTTATTACAAAGTTAAGTCGTACCCTGTGCGCATTACTAATAAAAATCTTACGTTACGGACGTTTGTTCCCGGTTAGGGTACCCCTACCTGAGGGGGTGAGGCCGCGCGGCGCGCTACCAGCACTCTAGCGCGCTGCCGTGGAGTGAATAGAGCGACCGGTCGGCGGTGTATCGCGTCCCGACCCGGCAGGCTGGTTCTGGTCCAGCGGGGTATTCCGGGACACCAGCCGCACCGTCTGGGCGGCCCGACGGGCTGCCGTACCGAGACGGCCGACGTTTCAGAGCCTTCGATTCGCCTCGAAGGCTCCGTCGGCTGGGCGTCCTTGGGGTGAGCCGCGCCGTCTGGTTGTAGTGTTGACCGCGGTAGCCCCCCTACCTCATCCGGGTTCTGACCTCGGAGGGGATCGGACGTCGGGTGTAAGAGTGCAGGGGAGTCGTTTAGTGGGTGGGTCCTAAAATCCTTGGGCCCGCGGTCTGCTCACAATACCATGCAGATCGTTGAGTCTCACATACCCCGCGCGCCCCTTTTGCGCGGGGACCTCGTAGGAGGTTCGGACTTCTACCCGAAAAAATAAAAAATAAAAAGGGTACCCCTCCGCATCGTCCCATAGGGAACTTCGTTCCAAAAACTAGATCAAATAAATTGGCGTCACTACCTTTTTTGTTTAGTACCTAGTAGTTTCTCCAGTGTGTCCAGGAGGGCAAGATGCTGAGGCATGAGCACCAGGGGCAGTTTTCGGCCATCGGAGACCATGCGAAGCGTCACTTTCACAAGCCTCGTCTTTAGTTCCAAGAGCCCACATTGTCACTCCCTTAGAGTTAGTACCGGCTATTGAAGATACTTGGCAACGGAATTCACCAGATTTCTGGAACAAAAAAATGTAAGTTTTCGGTGCTTAGGTTCCTAGAAGCATATACAGGGTGTCCCAAAACTCAACGATAAGCCGGTACCTGGTGTATGGTCGGGTCAATAATTACCCATGGAAAAATAAAAATTATTAAGAGAGTTCTTAGAATTTTTACAAGTGTTGTCATAGTATTGCACCATTTTAGAATTGTGATGAGTTACGCTAACTTTTGTAATAACATGCCATAGTACATTACATACATTTTTTTTACACAGTAGCATGTCAAAGTTGATTAAAATTTAAAATATTTTAAAATTTCCAGAAAAAAGATTGTTTATTTTATTTTTATATAAAAACTACGAATGTTTTGGTCCTATTTGCAATTAATAGTTATGTTACTTAGGTAGCTAATACAAAAAAAAAGTGGGGATATGTTCACATTTGTAACCATAGTATCTAATCATAGGGTGTAAGGTATCAAATTACAACATTTTTTCAAAAAAGTTAATGTAACTTTGAAAAAAAAAACTTGATTATTTTTATTATTTTTCCATGGGTAGTTATTGACCCGACCATACATCGGTACTGGCTTATCGTTGAATTTTGGGACACCCTGTATACTGAATGCATGCTGGGTAGCGGAATGAATTGGCGATGGCTGTAGTCCTATCTTAAGATCCTTGACAAAACAAAGAGTTTGTTCTACTTGGTTCAATTAGCTGTTTAGACAATAAGATATAAATGGTTGCAAATAAAAAAGATCTTCGTTGGGATCAGATTACGTTTCAGCAAGTTGTGTGGTAAATTGTTACATTTCATTGCTTCTCACCGTTGCTCTTGATCGGAAGTACCCTTGTTTAGCTTACCCTTTCCTTACCTGAACGTTATACAATTTCAACACACTTCCAGCAGGGTACAAGTCTTCCCACACTTCTCGACCTGGATTCAGAGGTAAGAGACCGCGTTCTCGAGCCCAACTGAACCCCAAAGCACCGTGCATTCTACTTGCTCCTGCCAAACATGTGATGCTCACGTTTTCTCCCTAAAAAAATATTTATTAGTATATAGAGGATAAATTTAATTAAAATTCACGCCTCAAGCTTACAGTCAACAAGAATGGCACAAATAAATTTTATAAATTCCGATCTAAATATTAGTTCAGTTCATGGCGTAATTTATCAAAGAGAGGCCACGTTGAGATAACGTTTAAGTAACATAAAAATATTAATATTTATTTAAAAATAAATGTTCGAAAACACAAAGCTAGTAGTGAAAGAGAGCTTCTTGCTTTATTCTTTGAAGTCAGTTAAAAATGTCACGATGGTGTTCATTTCAAAGAATTAAGCACCTAGCAAGCCAATTACAAGGCTGCGACCTATAATATAATTTACTGATGGTAGGACCTCTTGTGAGTCCGCACGGGTAGGTACCACCGCCTTGCCTGTGTCTTCCTATGTGCTCCCACTTAACACCGGATGTAACCACTTAACACCAGGTGGGCTATGAGCTCGTCCACCCATCTAACCAAAATGCCATCGTATATGTTTACCTTGTTTACTGTTAAGGTGGAAGGTACAAGTCGTATATTCGGTGGTCTTAGAACTGCCAGCATTAGGGCTCTGCAACGTCTTCTGCCGGCGTCATCAGCGGTGCAGGACCACTTGCCGCCGTCCAGTCTTTTGGCTTCAGCTACTCCGAGTACCGACATACGACGACCGAGGGCGTCTTCTGAGACTGTCCTAGTCCAGATTTCTCTGAGAACAAGATGTAATGTAAAGTTAAGGAAAATTTTGTTTGGTGATATACCTACTCTTGTTCTTAACCTAGGAAAATTCGGTTGATCTAATGTTTAAGGTCGTCGTGGCCTAAAGGATAAGGCAGGGGCAGCCGTTGTACCTATACTGAGACCTTAGAACTTATATCTCATTTACGTTGTAGATGTTTATGGGCTCCAGTAACCACTTAATACCAGGTGGGCTGTGAGCTCGTCTGCCCACCTAAGCAATAAAACAAAAAAAAAACTCTTTATGGCCTTATGCGAACATAATTAAATACTTTTGTACATATTTTTAAAGATTTCAGACAATAATAATAATTACTTCCTCCCTACTGTTAAATACCATAAAATTGTATTTTAATTTGGCGAAACGTTTGTAAAGAAAAAAACCAACAACAAAGAAGTTAAAACGATAGAATGAATTCATTACTTGTTTGCGCGTCGTCTAATAGTCGCTCAATATGTAAACAGTCCACTGGTGACCTACATCTTTGGGGGCGAAATTATAAAACCATTCGTGGAATTGTAGAGAAAACAAGTTTAGAACGGGTCGAGGACAAGGGTTAAACTTATGTTAGTGCTCTCTTAACGTAAATACTTCGGAGTCCAAAGGAAAACGGCTTTATGTGTCAGCATATGCAGTGGAAAATCGGGGCTTTTGAATATTTACACGTTATTTAATTGTATTATGAGCTGGCAACGTTCTTAAACACGAACGAGATGGTTTTGTTTTTATAGTTACGACAAATAGGATGTATAGAGATCGCTTCAGATACCAAATAGCAACGATTCACTACATGACGTAAGCTACATAGAAAGAGCATTTGCATACGTAAAACAAAAAATGTCGGTTTTGTGAATTGATATTTCATGAACTGGGTGGATTTTTTCGCACCACTGCCTTCGGGTTTACAATATGTTCTACCACAAGAAAGTGCCAGCTGGCGATCACTGTACCCTGATGTACTCAAACTGATACACTCAAAGAACGCTGCTGCCATAAAGCCAGTGAATCCGTCAGTCGCCTGTTACGACACTCATGGAAAGATATGGTGTAGGGCTATCCATCAAACTATATCCGCTAACTAATAAACTATATCAAAAAAAGCTTGACATTTCACGTATTTATTTTTATTTTTATTGCTTAGATGGGTGGACGAGCTCACAGCCCACATGGTGTTAAGGGGTTACTGGAGCCCATAGACATCTACAACGTAAATGCGCCACCCACCTTGAGATATAAGTTCTAAGGTCTCAGTATAGTTACAACGGCTGCCCTACCCTTCAAACCGAAACGCATTACTGCTTCACGGCAGAAATAGGCAGGGCGGTGGTACCTATCCGCGCGGACTCACAAGAGGTCCTACCACCAGTAAAAAAGCATGGAGGATGCATTGAGTAGAAAACAGCACCAAGTGTAGTGTTTATAAGCTTAGAATCACACCCGAATTTCATTAAAATTCATAATCGAACACAAATAAACTAAAGATGTTCTCAAGTGAACGTAACACACAACGTAAATATATTTAATCCGCAAGGAATGGGTGCTGGTAGCGTCTTCTCGTTTATTGTATTCACAGATGCAAAGTAGGTACAAACGTAGTAATATGATAAGGATAAGCTGATGCTGTGTAATACGCGTGAGCTGGCGCATTGTGACGAGAGCGGCGGTAGCGGGTTAGGAAGCGATTTTGACAATTTTTTTAAATTACTAGCTGACCCGGCAGACTTCTTAGTGCCTCAATCGATAAATAAAAGGCCTAAACTTTTGTATAAAATAAACTTAAAACAAACAAAAGGAATCCGTCCGACTGGGGACACATCAAAGGGATAACAAAATTGTTATAAATATTTTTATTTAATTCCGAGCATTTTCATATTTATCTACCTTTTAAACCTTCTCTGGACTTCCACAAATAATTCAAGACCAAAATTAGTCAAATCGATCCAGCCGTTCTCGAGTTTTAGCGAGACTAACGAACAGCAATTCATTTTTATATTCAGTATAGATTTACGAATTCAATATGAATGCTCAATAGTTTCTAAGCGAAATTCATATTAGTAACAGCGTAAATGCCACTTTTACGTCTTTCAAATAAGATTGGTCTTATTTCTTCACTGTGGAAGTGATTTTTGAATACGTGTTGGTGAATCAATATTTAAAAAAAAAGTATCGACCATATTTCTAACTTTGGTATTTTAAGAATATACTAGACTCTTTTGTTTGTAGTAAAACATCGCTTTAAGTATTACCTCGAATTTGTTTTATAGAAGACCAAGGGAAATTCCCGCTTCCGTCGGTACCAAGCTCAAGCTTTACCACTTATCCCATGTTTGGAGTTAGAACGGAGAAAATACATAGAAGGCACGTGTTCCCTGTCGTAGAACCGCTCGGGAAATTAAAACATACATTTTGGAAGTAATTCTCATAGCTACGAGTCGCCGGAATAGAAATTACATTGTCCTTGAAAGGTTTTGTTTGAATAAACAGGTTGGATAAGTTTGAAAACTTTTTTCAGAATTCACAACGGGTATTCGATAAATAACCAAATGGCTTAAAAGCGATAAATAATGCTTACTTTAATTCAAAGGTTGAATAAATATAAGTGGAATATGAGAAACTGTTGAGATAATCAAATATTGAGAGAGATTTTCCCGAAGAGGCGTGTTTAAACCTCATACATGCATATTTTGCGCGAGATATTAAAAGGCAATGTAATCAAATGGCTACCTTAAAAAATTACTGACCTTGTTGTTCCATTAAAATTGATTTTCACTCCATCTTTGTACCAAGTGAAGGCGATATGTGGAGATCCGTAAGCCATGCAGCTCAGTATGAACTCTGAACCCTCCCAGACTTCCGGACGTTGATTTACGATTAATGCCTGCAAATTTAATTCATCTTAAGTTTATGTTTTTTAATGCTGGCCTAGAATAGCACTGTTTACATGTATAAACAATCTCTAAATGGCTTGGCTTCGAATTTTTGTTCATTAAATTTAGAATTGAATAATATTAGTTTAACTACTTCAAGACTTCTGTGGCTCGTTGAATAGTGAGGAGCTCATAGCTATAGCTACATATTCGAACAGCTGTCGTCTCACGAAATTATTCTCATGGGTGGCAGGATAGTTTTCGTAGTAATGCAATTAAGACCTTAATTTAGTGTCTGTTCACACACAAAAAGTTCAATTATGAAATTGTTGATTTTGATATCTCTATAAAATATCAGTTCTACGAGCAATATGCCTGGTCCTAATTGAACTCGCAACCCTTTAAAACGACAAGCATAAACCGAAGAAAATATGTATTAATTGAGAAGAATATTAATTGAGAAAACCAGTATCATTGCCTATGAACTTCTATACGTAGTGCGTGCGTTTGTGCACTCACACAAACAACAAATGTACTAGTTAAATTTTGAAAAGTCCACAATGTTGCAAACTATTCTCAAAGTGGTGCTAAGTCAGGTCGATGCGCTATCTGGCGACTCGGGTTTGGCTGTTAGCCAACTCGTTGGAAAAGACTTAGAAATCCCCGTTTTTAAATTAATTAAACTCTGCCAGCCGTGTCGGCGAGACGACATCTTTTTTATAGTATGAAATGGAGACACGATTGCGGCTCTGATGTTAACATATAGCCCGAGGTCAGAGATATCACGGCCTGAATGCCGTAGCTTAGAAACATAAGGTTGATTCCTCAATTCGCATAGTAATTATTCTGCTAAAGATATGATATCTTTTGAATTAAAAAACGCAAAAGTCTTTCGCTGCTATTGGTAAGCTTGCAAGGTCACGAAAATATCGAAAGGCCAATAGTACAATAGAGAGAGTTGGTTGGTGGAGAGTTGGCGCCACTTTGAGAAGGCGGCACGACATGAAAACCCTCTTGTCGTGGCCGCTGGTAATTACATACACGATCCTGAAGACCGAATGGTAAACAGTCGACGTTGCCCTAAACACGTCATTACGGATCCTCTCAATCCATTAACCGTGCTTTTAGGTACCTCAAGCGCCGGTCACCGTCCTCGTCGAACCCGTCGCTTGCCACGAAGGGCTCGAGGAGTAAATTAATCCATAGACACAGCCCACTGAGTTTCTCGCCGGATCTTCTCAGTGGGTCGCGTTTCCGATCCGGTGGGAGATTCTGCGAAGCACTGCTAGGGCCAGTGTTAGCAACACTCCCAGTTTAAGCCCCATGAGCTTACCTACTAGCTCGGTGAATCTAGAATATCCCCTCGAGGATACTAGAATAGGTAGGAAAAAAGAGAGCTGGGTAAGTACAGAGGAACTGGTTAGTCGCTGTGAGTGCGACCGGGTCGTTATTACAATCAATGTAATGTGCATGTACATTAAATGAAACAAATAAAATAGAGTGAACTAAAGAAGTGAACATAAACCAGCGATTTTTAGAATAATTTTCTGTCTGTTGTTTGTTGTTCGTTCGAGCATATATTCTGAAAAAAATGAAAGGATTTTTATGTGGATTTCACAGATAGTTGGGAGGCTTTTTTTGGAGCAGAATACAGGCTTTGTTTTATTAAAATCAGAATTTGCAAACGGTTATCGTCAATGAAATTTTTTTGTAATTATTTTTATACTGTTCGATATTGGAAGCTACGTAGCTAATAACTGTTGCCCATATTATCTGTATATGTACATCTGTATCCATGTGATTATTATAGCACACCTGTTCCTTTTGATTAAAAGCCAAATGTTCATCGTGATAAATCCTCTAGCTTAATTAGAAAGTGATTGATGTCGAATGTCAAATTAATTTAGAACATGTAATTTTGTTTCAGTGGCATTTTCATTGCTTAGATGGATGGATGAGCTTACGGTCCACCCGGTGTTAAGTGGTTATCGAAGACCTAAGCCTTTGCTCACCCATCTGTCCTGGTGAAACTAGAAAGGCCTCCGGGCCAACAGTAATTGAATTTTTTTTATTTATTTATTTATTACACTTCATGTAAAATTTACATTGGCGGACTCAATGCCTAAGGCATTCTCTACCAGTCAACCAAAGGTAGTACAGAGTAAATAGTGGTAGGTGCAATGAAATTTATATTAGGTTACGAATACATACAAAAAAAAGTATATCTACATATATACAAAATCACATATACATATAAAAATATACATACATACATACATATATTCACACATACATACATATAATAGTTTAAATATATTTATATAATAGTTTATATATAATAGTAATCCTTTATTAAAAAAAAACATAAGTTCTAAAGTTTTACTCAGTCTCAGTATGAACAGTAGAACGGCTGTCCCACTCATGACATCTAGACGGAATTTTTAATAAGAACGACTTATCAAACTCGCATATAAAGTACATAAAATAAAATGGCTCTGAGCAGACATTCGTTGTACGTAGTTTTTTTTATCACAATACATCCACATTCCACATAACAAGATGACGCTATAAAACGGGTAGATTCTTTCATAGTACTTAGATATTATTTGTCTATCTTACTCACTCAAGTTAGAAAATGGAGAGTGTAAGAGAGACGTAATATCGAGTGATGGACAGAGTTTCGTTGCCGAAAAAGGTAATTGCATTGCCAACTTTTGCTTATACCACATTGAAGTTTAATAAAAACCTAGAATGTTCGTAATGTTTTTATTTTTATTTTCTTAAAGTTAATCATAATAAAATATTTTTTTAAGCGCTAAAATTTGTGTGGTTTATAAAGATAATAGATATATTGCGTTAAAGCCTGCCTGCCTACATTTACGTATAATTATGTCGTAGTAAGTAAAAAAAAATCAAGTTTTAGGTAGGTGGATATGATTAAAAATATTTGACCGGTGTGCGTATGGTATAGCTTACTTTTCTTTTTTTCCTACCTATATGCTGATAGCTTTGAGAGGCTATATCAGTGTTACTCTAGCGGAGCTCTCGGGACTCAAACCGGAGGTGTTGCTAACACGAACCCTAGCAAGAGCAGTGCTTAGCAGAATCTACCACCGGATCGAAAAGGCGACCCACTGAGAAGATCCGGCAAGAAACTCAGTGGGCTATGTCTGAGGGTTAATTTTCTCGCCGAGCTCTTCGTCGCAAGCAACGGGTTCGACGAGAACGATGACCGGTGCTAGAGGTACCTAGAAGCACCGTTAGTAGATCGGGAGGATCCGAGATGACGTGTTTAGGGCGACGTCGACTGCTTTCCATTCTGTCCGCAGGATCGGGAATGTAGTTACCGGCGGCCACGATGAGAGGGTTCTCGTGTCGTGCCGCTTTATCGAAGTGGATCCAGCAGTGGGCGTCTGTTGTCTGATAATAGTGGCGCTAAGTATAGTTTGATATGCGGGAGTGTGGGCAAAATGAAACATCAAAATATTTTACTTCTTACACAACCTGATAAGCTGGACATAAGCTTCCCCATCCACCCATAATAATAAACTATTAAAAACCTATGTAAGTTTATTACATAGGTTTCTATTAGAATTATTAAGAAATAAGTCTGCAGAATTTAGAATTTTTCTGCAATAAAATTAAAAATTAAAATAAAATTCTTCAATAAAATTGATTCCATAACTAATATTTACACATAAGATAAAATAAACACTACACTAGAATCGAAATAAACGATCAAAAATTTTTTTTACTGAAGTAGACCTTGGGGTAGTTTCGAACCGATATATTATAAGACTTCGTAACGATTTAACACATAATTATTATATTAGCTGGTGTCGATCTAATTTTCACAATTTCTTCCCGAAAAACGTTCAAAGGTCCCGATGAAGTTTTTAATAGGTCGTTCAGAGTTTGCTTTCAGAGTTTTTTTTTTCCTTCATAATTCTTAACGTTTTTTGTGAGTCAATTTATCGAGTTTATGGTCGTAAATCACAGTTGCGCGAGAAAGATGGCTCAGAACTTTCGTTTAGGTGAGAGCTATTGTTATTCAAATGGGCTGTAACATGAGCCATTGTTTCGCTGATCAGCAGCTAAATGGATGCTGTTAGTTAGTTGCTAAAGTTTTCTTAATAAAATTGCGATGAGCGTGTGCCGCAAACAAGCATCGCAGAGCCGATATTTCTTTTATTGATAATGACAGCTGTTTGCAACTGAGCTTTTTTATTTATTTATTGCTTAGATGGTGGACGAGCTCACAGCCCACCTGGCGTTAAGTGGCTACTGGAGCCCATAGACATCTACGACGTAAATGAGCCATCCACCTTGAGATATAAGTTCTAAGGTCTCAAGTATAGTTACAACGGCTGTCCCACCCTTGAGCTCTGAATAGCTTCTTCCTTTTTTCCCTACTCAATCGTTAATAGTCTAAGAGGGTATTCCAACTTCACGCGGATCGGTAGATGAGCTCACGGGCTCAACCTAAGAGGATAATGACCTGTAAACAATCGCGGCCAAACTGCCTACGCGTCTTTCATTCAAGCATACATCGCCCTTTGATCTAGTTCTTAGTGAACCAGATTACCACGCGATCTGTATGAAATTGTCTGCCACGAATATGTTTACAGTATACATAGTTTTTGTATTAGATATTTAAGCAAGATATCAGTGATTTTAAATACATATAATTCATCAGTGTTCCTAAAGTGATTATTTTTTTCAGTTTGCCAAACATGAAGTAATAACGAAAACAGATATGGCATTGAGATAAGGCACATTGGGTGGCTAGGCTAGGCTAGCCGATGAGTCATTTCATGTTCCTATCTTCAATTTGGCCACCGTATTAAAAGTAGTCGAGTAAAGTTTAGTCATAGAAAATAGTCTTAACTATCAATTCTGTTTTAGTTAAGTATGTAAGTGTTCTTCTTCATCGTTCCCTCACTGCTGAGGATTGCGACATGTGGCTTTCCTTCATAGTGTTCGGTCATGCGTGGCACGGACGGCATGGTATTTATTGGAACGAAGTTCCTTATGGGACGATGCGGAGGGGTACCCTAACCGGGAAAAAACGTCCGTAACGTAAGATTTTTTATTAATAATACACACAGTGTACGACTTAACTTTGTAATAACGTACAAATTAGTAATGCACACAGTGTACGACTTAACTTTGTAATAACGTACAAAAAATAACATATTTTTTTATCATTAATTGACCACGATCTCAGAGCGTTCGTTTGCGCAATACATTAACTCTTATGCAAACAACCGTGAATGAAGTGTACCACAATAATTTCGCATGTTACCGAATGATCGCGGGTAGTTGCGAAACCTCCAATTTTATTTTCTTTACACCTCGAATAGAACTTAAAATTTATATTTTTAGAATAAGGAACTTCGTTCCTATCCGGTGTCCCACGACACCACACATCCTTTTTTTTTGTTCTATGTCTATTGTAGATTCTAAGGCTATTGTTACGTGTTCGAATGAGTTCGAACTTACGTGTAGGTTGAGCGCTGGTTGCATATCGAAGTGCAGGGTAGCGGGAAGCAAGCGGAGTCTGTCGGTACGAGTCCTCATTGCTGCCAGTCTGGCTAGCACCGTCCTCAAGGTTCCTGCGTCACGTCTGGCGGCCCACATCCGAAGCCACACTGTCCTAGCGTGGTTCGTATCCACTGAGCTGTTAGAGAAATTTAAGTTGACGTTTGAATGTCACCAGGTTTTTGTTTATTGGTTGAGACGTGCAAAAGGGTCACTCATCAACACGAAGGCGGTCACTAAGCTTGAGATATCAAAGTCTCATTTGTATTGTATAAGTCGGCACGATTTCTCAAACACCCTACTAAGGTAACACCTTTTTATTAACATAAAAATAAAATTGTAATAAAATTGTTTTAAATTATAATAGATCCTTAGGTGAATTTCCAAGGTACACCAACCACACACAAGACTTAAAGTGTGGCACATGAGGTTGGAAAACCTAATCTTGTTTGTGATCGGTAATTTAAATAAAAAAAAAAGGCAACTTCAGCTTTAGAATACGTGCATTTTTGCATCCTTCGTGGGTAGATGATCGATGTTGAATAGCTTAGCAGCAGTTTTATTAAAGTATCGCTTTAATATATTGGAAATTTGAATTAAGTATTATTTTATTAAACTACTACTTACCTTATATTCAAAATTTCAATATTATCTTCTAATGTAATGTTCGAAGATTTAAGATAATTAGTAATCTGGAAAAATAAGTTTGAGATAATATTTTTAAAATATAATAAGTCAATCTGTTTGTACAAGTTTGAGCAAATATAAAATATAATAAAACACAGTTCTTTTTAGGCAGCGAAAATACTTTCGAAATATATGAAATATTTAAGTTTAAACATTCATGTACATCCGATAATAGTGAGTTAGGTAGTCGACAACTTTATAAAGATCGCCCACAATACAGCCGACTATTGAGACAAAAATTACAATCTGTTTAGAAAATCGTTTTGAAGACGCCGTAGCCTTAAGGATAAGACGCCCGGTGTACCTACTCGGAGCGAGCGATGCGACTGTGCCGGTGTTCGAATCCCGGCAGGCAGGTACCAATTTTTCCTTTTTTTCCCCCCACCTATTCGCTGGTAGCCTAAGAGGCTATTCCAGCTACGCCCGGACGGGTACGTGAGCTCACGGGCGCAAGTTGAAAGAATTTGATAACATTAGCCCTAGCTAGGGCAGTGCTTCGCAGAATCCACCACCGTATCGGAATCGCGACTGAAAATATCCGACGATAAACTCAGTGGGTTGTGTTTATGAGCTAGTTCGCCTTTCGTCGACCGGTTCGACGAGGACGGTGACAGGTGCTTGAAAGGACTAAAAGCACCGAGAGTGAATCCAGGGAATGCGACATGTTTCGAGGATTTGCGTTGCCCCGTCGCGGATAAGACAATTTTTCCAATGACATACATACTTAATTTATGTTCGCGAATTATTTCCACGTTGAAGGAATAGCGTCTTGCAATAAAAAAAAATGAAAAATAAATAATAGTTTAAAAAACTAAAAAAGACGCTTTATAAAAAATTTCAACTAAAAAATAGAAAATAAATTTTAATTGAAAATAGTGTAAAATATATTTTATTGTAAAAAATGCGTGGGGTGCTTTTTGAGATATTCTTGAAATAATGATAAAGCGTGTTTTTTAGTTTTTTTTTAAACTATTATTTATTTTTCATTTTTTAGTAAAATTTTCTATAAAAGTGTATTTTTAAAACTATTAAGTACTTTAACATCAATTCCTGCCGTATCGATAGATAAAAAATATATAAATTGGCAAAAATCTTATTTTGCAAATTAAATCATGAAATAATCTTATCAAATTAGTGTATTGTCATCGGTCCTCGATAAATCTACAAAGTTTGAATGAAATCTGGCCGTTTAAGTGGGTCAAAATCGCGTCTAAAGGAATCAGTTACAAGCATACAAACATTTTTATTTTTTATTGCCTTGTTGTGTGGACGAGCTCACAGCCCACTTGGTGTTATGTGGTTACTGGAACACATAGACATCTACAACGTAAATGCGCCACACACCTTGAGATAAGTTCTAAGGTCTCAGTATAGTTACAGCGGCTGCCCCACCCTTCAAACCGAAACGCATTACTGCTTCACGGCAGAAATAGGCGGGGCGGTGGTACCTACCCGTGCGGACTCACAAGAGGTCCTACCACCAGTAATTTCGCAAATTATAATTTTGCGGGTTTCATTTTTATTACACGATGTTATTCCTTCACCGTGGAAGTCAATCGTGAACAATTGTTAAGTACGTATTTCATTAGAAAAATTGGTACACGCCAGCGGGATACAAACACCGTTGCATCGCTATATATGAATGCACCGGACGTCTTATCCTTTAGGCCACGACGACTTCAAATACATACAAGTGAAGCTAATATAAAGCGTGTAAAAATGAAACCCGTAAAAAGTTTTATTTGTGTAATTACTACTCAGTCTATGCAAATTCGCGTTACGATATAAATGAGTGGTACGGCGGAAACTTCCACTTGTGAGCGTACAATGTAAACGACCTGGTTCCTTAATAAGCCTTTAATAAACATTACACTTGGTATGGTGAATTTACTGCACTAATTACCTGTTCCACGATTTCCTGTGATATGTTAATATTTGGTTGGTCCATNTATTTGTGTCATTACTACTCAGTCTATGCAAATTCGCGTTACGATATAAATGAGTGGTACGGCGGAAACTTCCACTTGTGAGCGTACAATGTAAACGACCTGGTTCCTTAATAAGCCTTTAATAAACATTACACTTGGTATGGTGAATTTACTGCACTAATTACCTGTTCCACGATTTCCTGTGATATGTTAATATTTGGTTGGTCCATTACTAGCAGTCTCGTTTCGAAGCGTGCCGATACTGAAACAATAATGTTAATCTTTGAGATATATATACTTAAGTATATAATATAATCTACAATATTTAATATATAATATGTAATGTAATCTATTATTTAATCTTATAATTCTAATATTATTTAATCTTATGATTCGAATTTTTAACTAGTCAGAAATAAAGTGGATTTGAAAGTTCTTCAATGAACGATTTAAATCTAAAATGATCAGTTAGTGGTACTAACGCGTTCATACATCATACATACATCAACATTCACTGGAATTACATTATTTTTTTACCATTTCCACTTCTTTCACGTAATAATCAAATATTATTTAAAACTTACCGGCGTCCGTATCTCTTGGATTACAATCGCAGGCCCCACCCTTACAACCTTCGGAGCACTCTTCTATATCGCATTCTGAAAAAAAGATGTATTTAATATGTTATATTATAAACACACAGGGCGTGTTAATTTTTTTTGTCTCTATTGAGTAAATTTATTAAAAAAATTTAATCAAAAATATGTAATATAAAAAGTATCTAATTATATCATAATTTGAAGCCAGAGAATCTTTACAGCCAATTATAGTCTGTTCGGCTATATAGTATAGAGATACCGGTATCACCGGCATGTGATCCGACTATCTCAAGCTGCTGTCAAATTCCCTTAGCTCATTCTTAATGTCCTCACCTAAATTACCTTCTCCCTCCTAAATTCATTCCACCTCTAACATTACCAGGTACGTACTTACTAAGTTCGGCAAAAGTATTCCTGTTTGAACAGTCAAAGTCGTTTTGCAACAGTATAAAGATTTTTATTTATTGCTTTAAGTGGATCGGGTAAATTCATGATCTATTTAGTGATAGGTGGCTACAGGTGCTTATAGACATTATTATTTGACTACTGTCTCCTTCTTTAAAGCGTAAGATCGAAGTCCCAATTGTTTTGTATAACGACTAGTCCACCATACAAATATGACTCCATTGCTGTTGGTTGTTTAGTATCAGGTTATGTCACTGGCCTATTTTGCTGCGAAACATTTTTTTTATTGCTTACATGGTTGGACGAGCTCACAGCCCACCTGGTGTTAAGTGGTTACTGGAGCCCATAGACATCTACGACGTAAATGCGCCACCCACCTTGAGATATAACTTCTAAGGTTTCAAGCAGAGTTTCAACGGCTACGCCACCNATTGCTGTTGGTTGTTTAGTATCAGGTTATGTCACTGGCCTATTTTGCTGCGAAACATTTTTTTTATTGCTTACATGGTTGGACGAGCTCACAGCCCACCTGGTGTTAAGTGGTTACTGGAGCCCATAGACATCTACGACGTAAATGCGCCACCCACCTTGAGATATAACTTCTAAGGTTTCAAGCAGAGTTTCAACGGCTACGCCACCTTTCAAACCGAAACGCATTACGTTTCACGGCAGAAATAGTCAGTGGTACCACCACGCACTCGCAAGAGGTCCTACCAGCAGTAATGCGTTTTGGTCTGAAGGAAGGTCAGCGGATAGTCGCTATACACAGAACAGTCACGATTTACTTCCTCGGTGAACGAATAATCATGTAGTAAAAATCAAACTTGCAAAATTATCGCGTAATTACTAGTAGTAGGGCGTTTTGTGAGTCCGCACGGGTAGGTACTATTACCCTGCCTATTTCTGCCGTGAAGGAGACCACTTATCCATGTAACTACTTAACACCGTGGGCCGTGAGTACTTCCACCCACCTAAGCAATAAAAACAATTAAATCGAACAACAAGTCATACAACAGTTGAGATTTCGAACTCATAGGTGAAGGAAGCGGCATGTGTGTTTTGATGCCTGTGGACTTCAGTAGCCGATGAGCACTAATTAGCATAACTGGCTCAGTAGCTTATCTCACTAATACTCAAATAGATGTTTCCTTGAATGAAACCGGATTTTTATCAATTTCTTTTAAATCCGTTCCCGATTGAAATGCGACGTTCATGAATTTTATGGTTGTTAAGGAGAATGATGGGCAATATAAGAACCTATTTGGGCTCAGTGAGATGTGTACAATAAAAACATTCTCGAAATAAAGTGATTTACTTTTGAAGAGGGTTCGCAGATATACGAGAGGACATATATCCTGATATATATCATGATACGCTCACCACTTGATTTTATGTGCATGTAGATGGCAAAAAAACTATTATTTAATTCTTAAGAAAATATTCTGTATTTACTATATTATTTTCATATATTCATCGTCATAATAATCTGTATGACACATAGATGCAGCTCAATATAGCTTAAAAAGAATCTCGTCGATCTGTTTTGGAGCTATGATAACTATTTGCTAATTACTTGTTCGTGGTAATATCACTTATTCTTTTTCCCTATCCAAATACATTTACTGTTCATTTCTAAGATGAATAATAGCGACACGGTGTGTGAATAAGTTCATGTTCGCAGTACCATCTTTTCTCAAGTTTTCATGTCTAAAAAACGGAATAGTTATACATAGTTCCGCCATAGATAAATATTGCCGCCATAAATTTCAAATTTTAGCATTTTTTGATCAGTACGTTATTTGCGATTGTCAAAAAATTTTAAACACATCTGGTATGTAGAGCATACATCCTTTATTACTAAATTTCACAAAAAACCCTAATTCATTCGGAAGACACAATAATATATTTAAATTTCGGTAAATACATATAAAGTACCTATGTAAATTTATATATGTAGTAGGTATGGCAACAATATAGAACGGCTGGTTCCAGGCACATTGATGAGGTGGTATTTGATATTAAGTGCTATTATTCTTGCATCTCACCCCCTTCCAAACTAATAATTCCATACGTGAAGTGTTTAACATAGGAGAACCTAAATGCTTTTTACACTATTATATCCAGCTCAATACCCAATAAGTTATTGTCTGGTGATCGCGAGAGGCTCTATCGTACAAAATCTTTATTAATTTCTTGTAAATGGCCCTCATATCGGGCGAAATGGCTCGTATAATTACGATAAATGGTTCGATCTCAGATATATTGTCTTAGATTATAGGTAAAGGATTGACGATCGTTGGCTTCCTTGGGGTTCCTTGGAGTTTATATGGGTGGAAGTTTTCTGAATTTTAAATAATGATTGCTGATTGTCGATTTTTATCAGTCACTCTTAATATTATGTCGAAAAGAACCACATGTTTATCTAAAAGCACCTAGTAGACGGGAATTATTGAAATTGAATCGACGATTTCTACTGGTCATGGTCTGGGTCCGCATGGATAGATACTCTGCCTATTTTTGCCACTCTGCCTATTTTTGCCGTGAAGCAGTTATGAGCAGAAGTTATGCCTTTGCGTGATAATATACGCTCAATGATATACCGGTTTTTGGACTACTTAGAACAATTTCAACTATTCTATATAATTTCAAACTATCTATTTAGAATGATAGTAGATTCTAAATATACCGAAATGTAGTACCTTATGTTTGGGAAGTAAAGTATTGGAATCGGATCTAAAATCTACTAAGAAAAAATAATCTACTAGATAAGGTTATAATAAGAAACCGAATTACCTGGTGATTCTATTTTTGATTCACAGAAATCTCCTGTATATCCAGGGGCGCATATGCAGCTCACGGCGGCGGGGCCCATTTGTCTGTAAAATCTCAAAATTATTAATGTTGTAATATATTGTTTTTTTTAACGAAAGCGTTGATAAGAAAGAAATGTTTTGTAATAACAGCGTTCTCTAAGGTGTTTGTGGAACTGATGAAGCAAAGAAATCAGATTCACTTGTTATAAGCCGTTTTCTCGTTACCCAAAGTAAACCTGGGCCTAGGGGTCCGAGTAATAATATCCGAAAAGGTTCACTGTACACAATGTAAAGGAAATTCTGTTTATATGTACTGAGGAAAGTTCCCGCCGAGAATATTGTGTTACCGTTACCTTCTCGGACGCCTTTAGCATAAGGTCTTATTCTTTGAGAAACGAAGTTCGCGATGTTGCTAGTGCTAATAACAGAGTGCCACTTCACTACTTAAGACCAACAGACACAGCCCACTGAGTTTCTCGCCGGATCTTCTCAGTGGATCGCGTTTCCGATCCGGTGATAGATTCTGCGAAGCACGGCTCTTGCTAGGGTTCGTGTTAGCAACGTCTTCAGGTTTGAGCCCCGTAAGCTCACCTACTAGTTAAGGTTACGCTGAAACAGCCTCTTAAAGCTATCAGCTTAGGTAGGAAAAAAAAATCGGTTGTCTGTAAAGTCGGTTTACTGACGATAGTTGAACGTGACAACGCGTCATAAGAAAATACTGATAGAATGGTTTCATTTTTCAATTATCGCAATTATCGTTGCTATAAACAATTGACACCACATTCACTTTTCACTGAACTTCATACTTGACGAAAACATGTAAATGTGTTATTGTATAGCAGCTGACCACGCGGATGCATCGCTCACTCAAATAGAAAAGAGACAGATGTCGAACGCTGCCAAACGCGGAGGCCGATTGTGTTTCTTTGTCGCTCGTTGCGCGCTCTCGCTTGCACTTCAAGCCTTAAATAGAACGCCTCAGAGCGAGGTAACGCCGCATGAGTCCTGTTTATTCGTGCGTGCAGCCGGCTCCATCGAATTATAAGACGTTGTCACGTCAAAAACTACCTAAGAGCAACCCATTTTAAAAAGAACGGAAACGTTTAAAAATATCACGCATTCGAGTCGTTAGTGAAAGTTTCTATCGACAAAGGTTTAAGAGGAATTCCGCTGCGGATCGCCCGGAATTCGTTATTCTGAGGAAATTGCACGACATTTCGGGAAATGGACGACCGCATCGTAAACGAACGCCGAGGGGAAACACAAAAGTCCTCTCGACAGTTTAAAATATTCTTGAATTTGCTTACCTGCAGGTGCCGCCGTTTTTGCACATATTCGAGGTCCGCGGACACAGGGGGCCCACGCCGCAGTCCACGCCCGAGTAACCCTCGAAGCAAGAGCAGTAAAATTTCCTGCGACGTGGAAAATAGCGCGAGCTAAGCGATAAATTTAACGAAATAACCGCGCGGAAATACCCACTGCGGCCCTTTTTATTTATTTATTTTTCACACTATCGCATCACGCGAATAGTTGAATGAAAATGTACTAAATTTTGTCAGTGTATTGATGACGGCGCTTGTCACCAGCTTCATTTTTCGTTGTATCCCATCAGCACTAAATTTAGCTCGGTCTATTGACTACGCAAACGAGTTTGAGAGAGAATTTTCTGATTTATCTCCGCGTTTTAAAGATTAACTTTCGGGACAGGGACTTCAAAAAGGCGAAATTAGTAGCCGCCGTCTGATTTAAATATTAAAGGTTTCGTTGATTTTAAATTAATTTAGAACAAGAATCGATTTGTAATTACTGAATGAGACTTAAATATTTATATTGGCTTTAGTGAAGATGTGAATTTTTCAGTTTTTTTTTCATGTTCCAACTGGTAAATGGATTCACGGATGGTTTTAAGTTTTTTTTATTGCTTAGATGTGTAGACGAGCTCACAGCCCACCTGGTGTTGAGTGGTTACTGGAGCCCATAGACATCTACAACGTAAATGCGCCACCCAAATTGAGATATAAGTTCTTAGGTCTCAGTATAGTTAGAACGGCTACCCCACCCTTCAAATCGAAACGCATTACTGCTTCACGGAAGAAATAGGCGGGGTGGTGGTACCTACCCGTGCGGACTCACAAGAGGTCCTGCCACCAGTAAAAAGTGATTATAGAAGCGCATAGAATTCGAACCCTAATACCACTAACCCACCTTGAGATATGAGATGGTAACTGCTCCAGAATTCATCTAAAGCGGGTTATTACTACTAGGTATATTGAGAGTTGTTTGACATTTACTTAGAACCACGAGACCCACTAATCTGTATTCAACTGTATAAATAAGACTTAAATTACTGAATCTATCCTCAAAGGAACACTTATTTACATAGCATAATCAGTAATCTTGCGATTTTTTTTTCATAAATTTTATTGTACTGAAATACAAAGATTGTATCGCAAAATTATCAATAGGTACGTAATTTGCATTTATTCGAATTATAAAAATGTTATAAAAACAATTATATCCAAGCAAACACAGAATAATTTTGGTCTAACGCCTATCTAGATTGTAATCTACCACGGTACAGTGGTATAGTTCTAAAATTTTTTTATCTCATGAAATCTTCATAGAAAATTTAAAATAGATAATTGCTAGTTAAAAATTATTCGTACATTTTTCATAAAAAAATTCCTGTGTATTTTAACTGGTTTGGTTAGTTTAACCCAAGATAGTTGTCCGACCCAAGAACGATGTCTCTTTGCATTGTGACTGTCTCAAGAGAGCACCCGCTTTTCCTTATGTGGCCTGCTTATTACTGGTATAGGACGTCTTGTGAGTCTGCACGGATAGGTACCACCACCCTGTCTATTTCTGCCGTGATGCAGTAAGGCGTTTCGGTTGGAACGGTGGGGCAGCCATTGTATTGTAAGATCTGAGACACTACAACTTATATCTCAAGGTAGGTGGCGGAATAATTAGGTCCACTTATCTAAACAATAAATAAAAAGTCGATCGCGCGTCTGTGTACTAGCTTATAAAACTTTTTATAAACTCACTGGTAATCTTGGCTGGCGTAACAATGACCTAGTAGTCGGCATTCTATAGCACTGCACGAAGCAGGTCCTGCGGAATCAGTCGGTCCCCTCACAGAGTACGTCACGTTGAATCCAAATACCGAGAGAAGACCCAACGCCCGCAGCTGAGTGCCTTCGAGTCGATCCAGTGATAGCTCGACGACCAGCACCGGACTTTGTACCTGGGAAGGAGATGAAAGAACTTAAAATATTTTTGTTAAATTTAATAAGAATTGTTGTAGAGCTGATGTCGTCGTGGCCTAAAAGATTAGACGTTTTAACATACGTAATTACTACTCAATTGAGAGATAGCCTTAATTTTTTTTTGTTTAGATGGGTGGACGAGCTCTCAGCCCACCTGCTGTTAAGTGGTTACTGGAGCCCATAGACATCTATAACGTAAATGCGCCATCCACCTTGAGATATAAGTTCTAAGATCTCAGTATAGTTACAACGGCTGCCCCACCCTTCAGACCGAAACGCATTACTGCTTCACGGAAAAAATAGGCAGGGCTTTGGCACCTACCCGCGCGGAATCACAAGAAATCCTACCACCAGTAAAAAAATTCTAATGAAATACGAATCATCACGCACATGAATGACTTCTACCACGAAGGAATAATATGGTGCAATAAAAATCAGACCCGCAAAAATTTTAACATACTAATCAATTGAGACGTAGACTTCAATTTTCAAGGTGTCTAGCGGTATTACGTTGTGATGTCCATGGACCCCTGTAATAAGTGAGCAGCACGTGGGCCGAGAGCTTGGTTCACTGGTTTTCGCAAAATATAGGTAAAAATTTTAACTTGTTTATACATATAATTTTAATTATGCCCATGTCTCGTGGAAATCGAACAATATGAAATCAAATCAAATCAAAACAAAAAAATTTTATTCAACATAAATGAAAGTACATACTTGTTGAACGTCAAAAGAACTACCGCCAATTCACAAAAACTAGCCTCCGTCCTGAGAATAATTGGCAAGAAACTCAGCGGGCATGTCTTTTTTTTTTTTTTAATATTAGATAAAAATTAATAATTTTTTTTTTTAATATTCATTTTACAATGAGTATTATAACATAACAATTATTACAATATTGAAATGCCCGGAGCGAGCAACTCATTCCCACTTTGTGCAATCTTCTATATACTAGTACTAGTACTATATACTATGTAGATACTATTAATCATTGAAATTAGACTTGTATGTATTTGAATATCTATACTTTATGCGACATAAAAAAAAACGTTTATTGCAAAGCAAAACGTTGTATTTACATAAAAGCACAATTTCCAGTTTTATTTCGATAAGAGCGATCCCTTCTAGACAAAAGTATGGAGAAAGGAAATAAATTAACTGAAATAAATATACTAAAACTGTCGTTATCTTCGCTTGAGTCACGTTTTTCTGTTTTGGATATTAATGTACGTGCTTCAGTCTCTTGTTTAGCTATATCATTATTATCAAATGACCATTCTTTTTCGGCCTATTTTTTGTTATTATATTCATAAAAAAAATTATTAAGTGTTTGGTAGTTTCAATGCGTGCATATAAACAACTACAACTGTTCAAGGAAGTCGGCTTCATGATTTAACCTCATCTAGCACATTTATTAGCTTTTTATTTACAAAATATATAGATATGCAGTATACCAATGTATTTCATTTGAACATTATTTTTATTTTTTTATTTTATAGGTGGATGGATGAGCTCACATAGACATCTAAAACGTAAATGCCGCCACCCACCTTGAGATATGAGTTCTAAAGTCCCAGTATAGTACAACGGCTGCCCCACCCTTCATTGCGCAATTACGTAAATTATAATTTTGTCGGTTTGATTTTTATAACACGATGTTATTCCTTCACCGTGAAAGGATACTGTTCTAACATCCGCCCAAGCAAGAGCGGTGCTTCGCCGAATCCACCACCGGATCGGAATTGCTACCCATTGAGAATATCCGGCGAGAAACTCAGTGCGTTGTGTCTATGGGTTAGTTCGTTGGTCGACCTCTTCGCCGTAATCGACGAGAGGAATGGTGTTGATGTTAGGAATTTATGTGTCCATCTCTTTTTACTTTAGCTTTTTCATTTCATCGACCATTGAATCACAATGACGCTAAAGAAGCTTTCACTTCATTTTTTGAATTACAAATTTGAATACATTGTGAGGTAACGCGGCTAAGTAGCATTGTTCTGCGCATTTCTGTCGCGAAGCAGTAATTCGTTCGATTTGAAGAGTACGATAATCGTTGTTATAATACTATTGAGACTCAGATCTAATATCTCAAAGCGAGTGGCATTCACGCTGTGATGCCTATGGGCTCCGGTGATCACTAAACATCAGATAGATTGCAAGTCTTTGGTTATTTAAACCCATTTCGATCATATCATAGTAACATAAGACAATTTTCATGTTTCAGAATTAAAAGAACGCATCAGTGTGTGAACACATTTGAGAGTTTCCGCAATCGTATGCATGCGTTGCTATCTGAACTGTTCAATTGAAAAATATGGGCTGTGGAATGTACTGGAAGACTGAAATGTACTGGTGGTAGGACCTCTTGTGAGTCAGCGCGGATATGTACCACCACCCCGCCTATTTCTGCCGTGAAGCAGTAATACGTTTCGGTTTGAAAGGCGGGGCAGCCGTTGTAATTATATTGAGACCTTAAGGAACTGATATCTCAAGGTGGATGGCGCATTTACGTCGTAGATGTCTATGGGCTCCAGTAACCACTTAGCATTAGGGGGGCTGTGAGCTCGTCCACCAATCTAAGCAATAAAAAAAAAATTAAAAAAAAAAACATTATCAATTTCTACAAACACGTCAAGAAGATATAAGTTATTTACTAGTTACAGTAGCGTTTGTTTATCAAAGTAAGATAAAGAAGTTGTTTGTTTAACAAAATCACAATTGCTTAAAACTAAACATTCGCTAAAACATTCACTACGAGCTGTTGTGACGTAGCAGTAATTAGACACTCGCCTCGCATTGTCTTAAACTGGAAAAGTACCTAATTACCGAAGTTGTTCGCGAGTAATTCCATCGAGATACATACGGTACGTGCGAATATAAATTATAATGTCTTTAAGGCTCTTCTGGTGTCGCGTTGTGTAGCTCTAAAATCGGTATCGTCTTAATAAAGTTCGCAAGTGTACATGATTTACGTACTGTTACTTTTGTTGGGTCGTTAATGTTTTACATTAATTATCAGTATTACATCGAGATTCAAAGGAGGCTTATGCGAATAGGCACAATGAACTGAGACGAATTTTGTAAAATATATAAAAATTAAATCAACAGTCTTAAAAGATCAGAATAAATTGTTTATTGTTTGATTGATTGAGTACATCGAGATAGGATTTATTGTTTTCGCACAGTTTTATTTTATTTTATAGCACTAGGTTGGTGAAGCAAGAGGGGTCGTCGTACCCCCTGACGGTGGTACGGAACGGGCCTCGGGGCAAACCACATTGCCCGGGCAGACGCTCCCTGCTACACAGGGCAGGGGTGATATGGGTGCAGGACGATGAGATGGGAAGGGCTGTTCGCATCGTGTACGGCTGCATAGCATCGACAAAATATAAATACATATATATAATAACGATGGGCTGATGATCTGCGCGGAGTGATGCCCGCAGCGGAGTCACCCTGGCGCCGGCTGCTGTCCTCTGTGTCCTATTCTATTTTTTTCACCATCAGCCCGCTCATAAAGATTACGAGCTAGCCTCCGGATGAACTCCTCGAGCGACTCCACATCCAGATCCCAGGCGATTACGGCATTTCTGACGTAACGCCCTGCTCCTACTATCGCGCGAAGAGCCAGATTTTTCTGGACCTGTAACCTCGCCCGCATACCCTGTGGGATGAGGTGATACCAGGCCGCAGCTGCGTACGTGATACGGGAACGGACATACGTCTTATAAATGCCGAGCTTAGTCCTGACCGGCAACCTGGAGGTCAAGACCGGCCGGAGGAGGAATCTCGCGTAGCGAGCGGCCAACGCCGACATGGCGTGGTCGGTCATCCTCAAACTCCGGTCGATATTGACCCCCAAGTACCGGACGCTGGATCTAAACTCGACATTAGCGTCACGGAGACTGAGCTGTCCCGGGACGACTGTTGTACGGACCGGACCGAAGAGAATAGCCGCAGTCTTCCCCACGTTGACCGCGACCCTCCATCGGTCCAGCCATTGGGGTAGTAAGTCCAATAACCTCTGCATCCTCGAAATGGCCGCAGAAGGGAAGTTGGATGACACGAAGTAGGCGCTGTCGTCGGCAAACAGCGCTAACTTCACGTCGGCTTCCCACGCTTGGAGGTTGCCCTCGAGCGTGGAAATGTCGTTAGTGTAGAGAGCGTAGAGGAATGGTGCCAGGACGCTCCCCTGCGGAACTCCGGCCGTAACTAAGCGCAACGACGACTAGGTTGGTGAATTCAGGAGCCACCCGGTGTTAATTGGTTCTAGAGTCCATAGACATAATAATGTGAATATGAGACATGATAATGAAAACTGAAATTTATGGATAATGGTACCTACCGCGAGCTTACAATAATCTGTTATTTAGGAAGGATTATACAAGTACAATTCAAACAATACAATCATTAACTGCCGTATTACGGAAGCAAAAGATATCTGTTTATGTTCTTGTGAAAGATTTCAGAACAACAATACAACGACAACAATTCTCAAAGTAAACAAAATAATAAAACATCACTAAATAAAATATGAAAGTATAATTGTAATAATAATTTCCACAAACAAAATGCAACATGCAGAGCCGGTATTTCATATTTGAAAGTATTAAACGTCAGCTCGTATCGCTTTGAGTATTATTAAGTGTTTCCCTCTCTGGGCGGGAAGCAGTGAGCAATTTCCATCGTTTAAAATTAAAAAAAAAACTTTAAAATAGAACGTTACTGGCTGAATTGTGGTTCTTATTTTGATTATACTTTTTTTTCGACGCCATTTTGTATTCTCATTTGATATTTATAATTGTGCTTGCGAATATATAATATGAACGTCATGCAGACAGAAAAAAGGTAATTTACCAACCAACAAATGATATTTTTCATCGGAAATTTTAGCAATATCAATTAGTTTGTACATGTCGTATTTTATTCGGAATATCTTACGTATATGTAATAAGCGTATATTACGTAATGAACGTAT